GGCAGTGTGTGGAGATTATCACAGCTGGGAGGATGCTACGGGCCTATAGTGGATTAAGGATGCTGTTTATTATCCTACAATGCACAAGAATCCTCCACAGGCAAGAATTATGTGACCCCCAAGTGTTAGCATTGCTGAGGTTAAGATAATGGTGTTTACTTCAGGTTTTGAACTAAAAAGAACTACAATGCCTATTTTGTGAAAGGCAATATGGTTTCTTAGAGAGAACATGGCCTTTAGAATTGTACAGACCTGGTGTTCAAACCTTGTTTTAGTTCATACTGGTTATGCGTATCCACATTTGGGTTGTGCGTGCATGGTGAGGGGAATAAAAAGAACAAGTAAGTTAATGCATTGCAGAGTACTGAGTAAGCATTGTCTCCTCTTCCATCTGAACTCTGTATGTCAGTGATACAGCTTCTGTTGTGCGCTTCTCAGAGACCCGAGGCAAGCTTTTACTTTTGGTTTTCAGTTTTTTCATTTATGAGTGAAGATAGTAGTACTTACCTATTTTAGGGAACATTTCATCAAAAAATGCAAATAAAGCACATAACTGGAATATAATAAGTATTTTGTGACTATTTGGTTTTATTTGTTATTAATCATAACTTTACATGTAGATTGTAATTATTTAGACTTGCTATTAGAAATGATTTATAAAATCAGGCAAGATTACCTGTCAACTGATGACTGGATAAGCAAAATGTGGTCTATCCAAAGAGTACAATATAATTTGGCAGTAAAAAGGAATGAAGCACTGATACATACTACAACATGGATGAACCTTGGAAAGATTATGCTAAGTGAAAGAAGCCAGTCATGAAAGATCACATACTGTACAATTTAATTAATATGAAATATCCAGAATAGACAAATCTATAGAGATAGAAAGTAGATTCGTGGTTGCCTCGGATGGGGAAGATGGAAGGGATAGGAGAGTATTAGCTAGTGGGGTTTGCTTTTGAGGTGATGAAAACTTCTAAAATTGGGACCAGCAGCTGGCATAGTGGTTACATTTCTGGACTCCCATGTGGTTGTCTGTGGTTTGAGTCCCGGTCCTGGCAGCTTGAAACTCAGGCGAGTGTGTGTGCATGCCCGAAATTCCAGGAGAAGAATGGAGGAGAAGGGATTTTGGTGTGCCCATCTCCTCTTGGGGATAATTTCTCACTTTCTTTGTCTCTGCCTCTCCAGCAAGTGCACATGCTTTACAGCAAAAACAAACAAATAAAAACTGTTCTAAAATTGACGGGTATGGTAACAGTTTCATAAGTTTATGAACATACTAAAAACCATTGAATTGGGCCAGCTCCCTAGCCTGTTGTTAAGGGAGCTAGATTCTATATGGCCTACTACAGTTTAAATCCTGGTCTCAGTGGCTTGAGAAACATGTCGTGACTGTGTGTATGCCCCAAATCCTGACAGGATGGAGAAATGGAAGAGACAGGATTGTGGTATGACCACACCCCATTCTGGGTGCTTCCTCTCTAACCCTTCGTCTCTGGTAAGCACATGCACCTTCTGGCAATTCAAACAATTTTTAAAAACAAATTGAATTATACAATTTATTTATTTGAGAGAGATTTTTGCTATAAGGTGCATGTGCTGGAGAGAGAGAGAGAGAGAGAGAGAGAGAGAG